CCCCTCTCCCCTCTCCCCCTCTCCCCCTCTTCCACTCACTCTCCTTCCTCCTCCCCTCCCGACACTCCGCCGGGTTAGGTCTACGTCTGCTCATCCTCTTCACATCCGGATATCCTCCTTCGCGTGTATGGCTCCGGCTCGTCGCACTTCTTCTCGCGCGAGACCGAGCTGTCGATCTTCGGCCTGGTGGCGAATTACGGCCTGGGCCCGGCTCTGATGGCCTCTTTCCCCGGGGGCCGGCTGGAGGAGTTCATCGGCGACGCGCGCACCATCGATGCCAAGAGTGTCCGCTCGCCCGGGACCTCGCGGAGCATTGCCCGAGCCATGGCCCGGCTGCATGCCATCGGCCTGGACTATTCGCCCCAGGCCCGGGACCATGGGTTCCCGCCGCCGCCGTCGATCCCCGGCGAGACGCCCGGGGTGTCGTCCCTCTTCGCGAAGATCCGCCGCTGGGCGGTCAACCTCCGTGCCTTGGATGCGGAGGCGCGCGCCGCTGGCGCGGCTCTGCGGCACAGCGCCGAGCCGGAGCCGGCTGCTGCTGACGCGCTGGCCGGGGCGCCGACCCCGGGGGCTGCCGGAGCGCCGACCACCGGTGCCTGCATGGGCGATCCGGAGATCCTGACCACGCGCCTGCGTACCACGCGCCTGGTGTCGGTGGCCGACCTGCAGGCGGAGCTCGACTGGCTCGAGGCCAAGCTCGAGGAGTTGGAAACGCGCGATGGTCAGCGCAGTCCAATTGTCTTCTCCCACAATGACGCCCAGTATGGGAATATCCTGCGCCGGGATGGTGGCCATGATTCGACGACCCCGCACCGGACGTCGGACAGCCTGCCCACAGCGGTCGGCTATGATGGCCGTGTGACCATGGTCGACTTGGAGTATGCTGGTTTTGCGCCGCGCGGCTTCGACATCGGCAACCACTTCTGCGAGGTGCGTCGACCACGCATGGTGGCGACACTGGGTGCAGGCCTCTGCGCCCCTCGGCGGTGGATCGGCATATCGTGGCGCTAGAGTGCCAGGGGTGGGGGCCTTTCTCTTTCGCATTTCTTCGCCCTCCTTCACGCTTTCCCCCCATGTCCTCGCCCACTTCCTCACATGTGTGCCGTTGTCTTCCTCCTCCCGTCATCCCCGTCATTTCGGTCTCTCCGTCCTCCCCCTGCCCTCGTTGTTGTTTTTTTCCCCCCCCCCCCTTCTTGTCGTCGCCCATTTCCAGTGGGCCGCCGATTACCACTCCTCCGAGCCGCATGTCTTCCACTTCCACCTTTACCCGTCGGTGGCCGAGCAGCGGGCCTTCATCCGGGCGTACCTGGCCGAGTACCGGCGCCTCGAGGCCCTTGGGTCGGTGCGTCTGGACCCGTACCTGCACACGGACGGCCCGCCTCCGCTGGAGGCCGAGGCCGCGGCCCTGGGCATCTCCTCGGAGGAGGTGGACCAGGTGCTGCTGGAGTCGACTCGCTATGCGCTGGTGTCACATCTCCTTTGGATCCTGTGGGGTCTGATTTCGGCGCATTGCGTTCCGCCGTCGGAAATCGACTTCGACTTCGGCGCCTATGCCTCCTTGCGTTGGGTGGAGTATTGGCGTGTGCGTGATTGTGTGCTGGGGGATCTGCCATGTGGCAGTGGCTCCGACGATTCGGACGGCACAGAGTCCCCGGTGGAGGGGGCCCCCCCCGGCGGGGGCATCTCCCGGTCGGCGGACATCACCAAGCGGGCCTTCAGCATGATTGGCCCGACGCCGGCCGTCAGCAGCGGTGCGGCCACCGCCTCCAAGAATGCTCGGAATGCGGAGGCCGCCGAGGCGGATGCCCTGCATGAGGCCCAGTCGTTGACGGCGGCGGCGGCGGTGGCTGCCGCCTCGGCGGCGGCGGTGGCTGCCGCCAATGCGGCCGTCACCTCGGCCGCCATGTCGGCTGTTCCCTCATCGACGCGCAGCGCTGATGCCCTCCTCGAGACGGCATCCCTTCACAGCACTCCCAGCCAGTCTCCCGATCCTGTCCATTGAGAGCGAGGCGCAGGGGAAGGCTCGGGGGAGGATATGGGGCGCAGGGAGGGGGGGGGGGGGGGGAGGGGGTGTTCTGGCGTGCTGTTTTTGATGCACGTGCGCTCTCTCTCTCTCTCTCTCTCTCTCTCTCTCTCCCTCTTCGCCTCTCCCTCCTCTCCCTCCCTCTTTCTCTCTCTCTTTCCCGTCCTTGATGATATCTTCCCTGGCCTTTTCCCCTCCCCCCCCTCCCCGTGTGGCTCGTGTACGGCAAACAGTCTGCCCCGGCCAAGCGGTGCCTCTCCTCTTCTCCCTCTCCCCAATACACTTCAATAGTATAGAGATACGCATCCTGCCCTTGTGCATTCCCTGTCACACACACGTGGCAGAGGGGTGGGGGGATATGTGTGAATCCCCATCGAGCGAGGGCACAAACACCACTTAGCGTGTGTGTGTGTGTGTGTGTTCTCAACTCAGATGCCCACGTGTAGGGTCAATACCTGTCATCAGAAGGGGGAGGGGGGCATGTATTTAGGTGGCCGGGGGCGAGGGACACGCGGGGCATTCCCCCCTGGCGCCGGCGCCAGGGGCCACGCTGCTGGGCTGGATGAGGGGGAGGAAAACAAGGGCAAGGGGAATGAAGGAAAGAAGGGGAGAGAGAGAGATAGGAAAGGGAAAATGACAGTCTGCATGTGGTCACCCGCACACAGACGCATAGGCGCGCCACGCGTGTCTGTCTCTGCGCATGCACATCTATAATGGGGGAATGAGAGGGGCGGAGGGGGGGGGGGGGGGGGGGGGGGGGGGGGGGGGGGGGCGGGGGGGGGGGGGGGGGGGGGGGGGGGGGGGGGGGGGGGGGGGGGCGGGGGAGGGGGGCCCCCCCCCCCCCCCCCCCCCCCCCCCCCGCGTGGCACATCAGATCGTCCAGGACTGGTTGTTGATGCAGCACTCGTACAGGAGCCAAACGCACTTGGTGCCCTGGCTGAAGTGCCTCCGCATGGCAAGGCGGTCGGACTCGAAGAGCGGAGGGGAGTTGGTGACCATCTGCGGCATGTTGGCCGCATCGCCTATGGACAGGACCTGGTGCGTGTGGCTGATGGCCGAGGTGGCCCCATCGGAGTCGATGCGGTCGATCAGGGTAATCAGCGAGGTGGTGGCCTTGGCGAGGTTGCTGGTGGAGAACATCTCGATGACCTGGGTGCAGAATTCCCGGATCTGGTGGGAGGAGGCCGAGGCCGGCTGGCCAAGGCCGGCCTTCTGGATGCTGCTGGCCACCGCGACATTGACCCAAAGGAGGGGGAGGATGGAGGCGAGGGCCTCGTGGAAGGGCCGCTCATGGGCCATGCGGATGGCGTGCGACCCGGCCATCAGGGCGTTGGGCGAGTAATTGGCGCGGTCCAGGGCCGCGGGATCGATATTGAAGCGGCCAAGGTGGCCTTCAGGTGGGATGCCGGGGGGAGGGGGG